TCACGGATTGAAATTTTGAGTCCCCCGATTTTTTCTACACCGATTGTCCGATCCAATTTCTGATGGTCGCATTCGATAGCTATGGTCAGAATCTCGAGTTCCCTAATATATACCTTATTAAAAATATTTGACCTTAAAGGTCAAATCACGGATATTCAACCTTAAAGGTCAAATCACGGATTAAAATTTTGAGTCCCCCCGATTTTTTCTACACCGATCGTCCGATCCAATTTCTGATGGTCGCATTCGATAGCTAGGGTCAAAATCTCGAGTTCCCTAATATATACCTTATTAAAAATATTTGACCTTAAAGGTTAAATCACGGATTGAAATTTTGAGTCCCCCTATTTTTTCTACACCGATCGTCCGATCCAATTTCTGATGGTCGCAATCGATAGCTAGGGTCAGAAACTCGAGTTCCCTAATATCCGTGAATTGACCTTTAAGGTCAAATATTTTTAATAAGGTATATATTAGGGAACTCGAGTTTCTGACCCTAGCTATCGATTGCGACCATCACAAATTGGATCGAACGATCGGTGTAGAAAAAATAGGGGGACTCAAAATTTCAATCCGTGATTTGACCTTTAAGGTCAAATATTTTTAATAAGGTATATATTAGGGAACTCGAGATTCTGACCCTAGCTATAGAATGCGACCATCAGAAATCGGATCGGACGATCGGTGTTGAAAAAAATTGAGGGACTCAAAAACTCAATCCGTGATTTGACCTTTAAGGTCAAATATTTTTAATAAGGTATATATTAGGGAACTCGAGATTTTGACCCTAGCTATCGAATGCGACCATCAGAAATTGGATCGGACGATCGGTGTAGAAAAAATCGGGGGACTCAAAATTTCAATCCGTGATTTGACCTTTAAGGTTGAATATCCGTGATTTGACCTTTAAGGTCAAATATTTTTAATAAGGTATATAATAGGGAACTCGAGATTCTGACCCTAGCTATAGAATGCGACCATCAGAAATCGGATCGGACGATCGGTGTTGAAAAAATTGGGGGACTCAAAAATTCAATCCGTGATTTGACCTTTAAGGTCAAATATTTTTAATAAGGTATATATTAGGGAACTCGAGTTTCTGACCCTAGCTATCGATTGCGACCATCAGAAATTGGATCGGACGATCGGTGTAGAAAAAATAGGGGGACTCAAAATTTCAATCCGTGATTTGCCCTTTAAGGTCAAATATTTTTAATAAAGTATATATTAGGGAACTCGAGATTCTGACCCTAGCTATAGAATGCGACCATCAGAAATCGGATCGGACGATCGGTGTTGAAAAAATTGGGGACTCAAAAATTCTATCCGTGATTTGACCTTTAAGGTCAAATATTTTTAATAAGGTATATATTAGGGAACTCGAGTTTCTGACCCTAGCTATCGATTGCGACCATCAGAAATTGGATCGGACGATCGGTGTAGAAAAAATGGGGGGACTAAAATTTCAATCCGTGATTTGACCTTTAAGGTTGAATATCCGTGATTTGACCTTTAAGGTTGAATATCCGTGATTTGACCTTTAAGGTCAAATATTTTTAATAAGGTATATATTAGGGAACTCGAGTTTCTGACCCTAGCTATCGATTGCGACCATCAGAAATTGGATCGGACGATCGGTGTTGAAAAAATTGGGGGACTCAAAATTTCAATCCGTGATTTGACCTTTAAGGTCAAATATTTTTAATAAGGTATATTAGGGAACTCGAGATTCTGACCCTAGCTATAGAATGCGACCATCAGAAATTGGATCGGACCATCGGTGTTGAAAAAATTGGGGGACTCAAAAATTCAATCCGTGATTTGATCTTTAACGTCAAATATTTTTAATAAGGTATATATTAGGGAACTCGAGATTCTGACCCTAGCTATCGATTGCGACCATCAGAAATTGGATCGGACGATCGGTGTAGAAAAAATAGGGGGACTCAAAATTTCAATCCGTGATTTGACCTTTAAGGTCAAATATTTTTAATAAGGTATATATTAGGGAACTCGAGTTTCTGACCCTAGCTATCGATTGCGACCATCAGAAATCGGATCGGACGATCGGTGTTGAAAAAATTGGGGGACTCAAAATTTCAATCCCTGATTTGACCTTTAAGGTCAAATATTTTTAATAAGGTATATATTAGGGAACTCGAGATTTTGACACTAGCTATCGAATGCGACCATCAGAAATTGGATCGGACGATCGGTGTAGAAAAAATCGGGGGACTCAAAATTTCAATCCGTGATTTGACCTTTAAGGTTGAATATCCGTGATTTGACCTTTAAGGTCAAATATTTTTAATAAGGTATATAATAGGGAACTCGAGATTCTGACCCTAGCTATAGAATGCGACCATCAGAAATCGGATCGGACGATCGGTGTTGAAAAAATTGGGGGACTCAAAAATTCAATCCGTGATTTGACCTTTAAGGTCAAATATTTTTAATAAGGTATATATTAGGGAACTCGAGTTTCTGACCCTAGCTATCGATTGCGACCATCAGAAATTGGATCGGACGATCGGTGTTGAAAAAATTGGGGGACTCAAAATTTCAATCCGTGATTTGACCTTTAAGGTCAAATATTTTTAATAAGGTATATATTAGGGAACTCGAGATTCTGACCCTAGCTATAGAATGCGACCATCAGAAATCGGATCGGACGATCGGTGTTGAAAAAATTGGGGACTCAAAAATTCAATCCGTGATTTGACCTTTAAGGTCAAATATTTTTAATAAGGTATATATTAGGGAACTCGAGATTTTGACCCTAGCTATCGAATGCGACCATCAGAAATTGGATCGGACGATCGGTGTAGAAAAAATATGGGGACTCAAAATTTCAATCCGTGATTTGACCTTTAAGGTCAAATATTTTTAATAAGGTATATATTAGGGAACTCGAGATTTTGACCCTTGCTATCGAATGCGACCATCAGAAATTGGATCGGACGATCGGTGTAGAAAAAATCGGGGGACTCAAAATTTCAATCCGTGATTTGACCTTTAAGGTCAAATATTTTTAATAAGGTATATATTAGGGAACTCGAGATTTTGACCCTAGCTATCGAATGCGACCATCAGAAATTGGATCGGACGATCGGTGTAGAAAAAATCGGGGGACTCAAAATTTCAATCCGTGATTTGACCTTTAAGGTTGAATATCCGTGATTTGACCTTTAAGGTCAAATATTTTTAATAAGTTATTTATTAGGGAACTCGAGATTCTGACCCGAGCTATAGAATGCGACCATCAGAAATCGGATCGGACGATCGGTGTTGAAAAAATTGGGGGACTCAAAAATTCAATCCGTGATTTGACCTTTAACCCACGCCCGCACATGGGGGGGGGGTGGTTGCCACCCCCCCCCCCAGGTAGTCTTTCTGCTCTGCACTCCACATTTTTAGAGCTAGAAGGCTGATTTTTCGTATAGCTGCTCCTCTATCCTTTCTTGATGTCCACTGAAAATTTCAAGTTTCTGTGATTTTTGGTTTCGGAGATATGACCTTGTTTTTCAGGTCATGTCATGACCCAAATGGCCAATTCTCAACATCTTGCGTTTGCCATGGGCCTTATGAGCTTTTGACACCCTGATTTCGGCCTTTTTTGCCAGTCTTACCTCCTACCTATCATGGAACATGTTGTTCGACGATGTACAGGGGTCAAGGTCAGGGTCAAGGTCAACCTAGGTCACCTAAGATAATTGCGTTTTAGGCAAGCTGAATTTACTTTTTTTGAAGTTTTTTGACTGCATTTTTGGTAAAAGCTTCTCAGATCATGATTTCATGTAATATGGACCCAAAAACAATCGGTGCACACATCAGTATACACACAGACACACACAGACATACAAACACATATAATTGACCTTGACCTAACTTGACCTGAAATGACCTCAGCAGCAAAATTCTGGTCGGGTAGTGTGACAAAGAGGTTCTAGCTGGCTTGGCACCAGAAAACAGCATCGTCATCGGTATTTGATAAGCAGCACACTTGATATCCAACGGTGACCCAAAACAGCAACATTTTTTAGTTTGACCTGACCTGGAAGGTCAATGACTGACCTGAGAAGGTAAAACTGGGTATCATTGGATTCGTCTCTTCCCAAAGAATCTTTTTGGTCTTTACTGCTAAGCTCTATCTCCAACAGGAACGAAATGGCGCGGGGGGGGTGGCAACCACCCCCCCCCCCCCCCATGTGCGTTCTAGGATGGGAAAATGGCATGTGCGGGCGAGGGTTAAGGTCAACTATTTTTAATAAGGTATATATTAGGGAACTCGAGTTTCTGACCCTAGCTATCGATTGCGACCATCAGAAATTGGATCCGACGATCGGTGTAGAAAAAATAGGGGGACTCAAAATTTCAATCCGTGATTTGACCTTTAAGGTCAAATATTTTTAATAAGGTATATATTAGGGAACTCGAGATTCTGACCCTAGCTATAGAATGCGACCATCAGAAATTGGATCGGACGATCGGTGTAGAAAAAATAGGGGGACTCAAAATTTCAATCCGTGATTTGACCTTTAAGGTCAAATATTTTTAATAAGGTATATATTAGGGAACTCGAGATTTTGACCCTAGCTATCGAATGCGACCATCAGAAAATGGATCGGACGATCGGTGTAGAAAAAATAGGGGGACTCAAAATTTCAATCCGTGATTTGACCTTGAAGGTCAAATATTTTTAATAAGGTATATATTAGGGAATTCGAGATTCTGACCCTAGCTTTCGAATGCGACCTTCAGAAATCGGATCGGACGATCGGTGTAGGAAAAATCGGGGTCTCAATTTCAATCCGTGATTTGACCTTGAAGATGACCTTGAAATTTGAAATGAATACGATATTCGGAATCAGCGTCCCAAACTGCATCGGATAAGTTGGGTTTAGTTGAAATTCGGACTCGACGCTGAATCCGTCGCGGAATACGACGCTAACTTCACGGACGTCCTCTGACCTGCATATGCGGCTTCCGTTGGCAGGTGTTTACCTACTGACCTGGTTCGCCAACCGTAACCGAATGAACCGTATCGGTCGCAAGGAGCAGTTCATCATGGCGTATGGCGGCCTGCGCGGCGCCGTCGGCTTCTCCCTGGTCGTGATGCTTGGGGATGTAATCGACAAGGAGACGGCACAGGTGTTCGTCACATGCACACTGTTCATTGTGCTGTTCACCGTCTTCGTTCAGGTGAGTGGCCGTGCGACTCAGGCTCAGCGCGGGAAAATCGCGAGCTCTTCGGTAAGCGCGAGAAAATCGGTAGTGATGGTAGTGCTGGACTCTTATCGGCCCACGGTCCTCGGTCCTCGGTCCAACTATCAAAAAACGTGATGGAATAAAGCAGCCGTCTTTTTCACAGTCCACATCCCAAATCAAGTAAATGATACCGATAGGATGTGTAGTGTGTAGTGTTTATGTTTTGAGAATGCACTCGTGACAGCAGGGGCTACGTTACGTTTACAATAATTATAAACTTGTAAACGTAACGTAATGCATGCTAAATCTTCTGTGTGTGTTTTTTTTTTTTTGTACTGAGCTAGGAACGAATCGGTGACTCGGTCGCATCACAGCTAAATATCCTGCGTTTTTTCCCCAGGGCTCGACAGTGAAGGTGTTGGTAAACTTCTTCCGAATCAAGCTGGATGACGATGAGGAGAAGACACTGGTGGAGGAGATTGTGACGTCATCGCTCGATCACATCTCCGAGGGAGTGGAGGAAATTGTCGGCTACGGAGGCCTCAACCGGCTGAAAGTAAGGAAACGGCACCATCTTTCAGGTTAAAATCTATTAAATTATTGAAATTAAATCAAATTAGATATATATCACTCTTTACTAGAGTGATACAAAAGATACGTGGTCTTATTGAATGGTTTCTTTCACCGAGTTCGGAATGTTTCAAGCGCCAAATTTTTGAACAAGCATTGACATGCATATTGCATGCTGCAGCCAGGATTTGCATCGCCTAAATCTCTCAAAGCTATGTGGCATGTGCCACCTGCGGTGACATCTCCCCCCGTGCCGTCCCCCAGGAGCGGCTGGAGACTCTGGACGAGAAGTACCTGACGCCGTGGCTGGTGCACACCCCACCCATGTCCAACCTGGCGCGTCTGTACGACAAACTGGTACTCGACGAGCATTACGCCAACCTGTATGGGCCGGCGGCCGTCCTGGAGACGCAGAAGGACTTCGATACCGGCTCCATTACGTCGTCACTGCCCTCGTACCCCGCCTACAAGGACAAGGACGTGAGTATCCGACGCACAACACGTGTATAGCGACAGTTATTAGAAACAACTACACAGTACACCGTGCTGACGACGAAAGGTTCGAGAAAAGGCGGTGAAATGTTAACGCAAATTGAGTAGTAATAGACAAATATATATTGAGACGGGTTACACAGCACATTGGGTTACACAACCACCCAATGTGCTGTGTAACCCGTCTCAATATATGTTAACGTAAATGTAAGTGAAATCATTTGCAGTTTACACAGCTCAAATTTGGTGAGGCCAATCACGCATTTTGGGATACCCTGATGCCCACGTCTCAGCCCATGTGCTCTGTTGGACCGCATCTCCTAATCTGTTCCCTGCCCCGCAGCGCAAGAGCTCGCTGGCAGCCGACGACGGCCACCTGGATCTGGAGCCGGGCTGGATGCGGCGCAAGTCGATCCTAAACTCGCCGAACGGCGACATCAAGCGCCGCCTCTCCTCGGCCGTCAACCTGCCGCTGCCAGAGGACGAGCTGGTGAGAACTTCGCTGATCGCGGGCCCAACGCGATTGAAATGGGGCAGGGAGTCACCACCCAGCAGTTTTCTGTGGCATATGCAGTTGGACGTATATGTATAATGTCGCAGGGTAGCTACGCACCTTAACTTACAGTTTTGTTAGTACCGTACCGTAGCGTAGTTTTAGCCTAAGGTATGCAGCGATATATCAACGTCCACCACCATGCCAAGCAGTGTTGGCGTGTGTCCACCGCTCGTTAGGAGTATTTCTCGCCTGACGCCCCGATCCGTGACCCGCAGGCGTGGCTGCGCCGGATCTCCGCGACCACTCCGGAGCTGCCGATGACGCGACCCTCGCTGAGCGACGCGCGTCGTCCGTCCATCATGGGCGACGGTCGGCGTCCGTCTCTGATCCCTCCCGACGGACTGGGCCTCAGCATGGGTCGACGCTCGTCCACCCTGCCTGCCGACGGCAGGACGGGCTCGCTGCAGCCGCCGCCGCTACCCGGAACCGGCGGCAGGCGCACCTCCATCGTCAACGACCTCAAACAGGGCTTCGCGCGCCGGCTCTCCGTGTTCGGAGCCACCGTCCACGATCAGAAGTAAGTTATCGCGAGCATGGAGCTCGTCAACGACCTAGGGTTCCTATTCACTGGATCATCAACGACCTAAAGAGAAATCTCATACATTATTATTTCCATTTCTCTGAACGAAAACGCGTCGAAAATCATCGTCTTATGTAGCATGTTCTAACCAAAACAAAGCAGTGTATGCGCAATGTTTGAGTAACACTTCAGCATGCAGCCGTGTTATGTCGCGTCTCGGGTCTGACTTCCGACCCGGCTGTCTCCGACAGAGACCCACAGGACGAGGAGAGCGGAGGTCGCCGCGACTCGGTCTTCCTCCGCTCACCGTCTCCGCAGACGGACACACAGCTGCTGCGACACGCCATCCGCGAGAACCCCTTCAACAAGGTATCCACGGCGTTCTCAGAGAAGGCAGTCGCCTATCGATGTGTGATGTTGAGGATATAAAGACCAGGCAGTGTTACATGTAGAGTTTTGACTTAGTGCTATTTCGCTGACGATGTCCCCGCCCCTCCGCAGCTGCACTTCCGCTACAACCCGAACCTGGTGGACGAAGAGGACCAGGAGGTGGAGACGCACCTGCGGCGGCGCCGACTCAACGCGCGTCGCATGTCGCAGATGGTGTTCCTGCCGCCGACGGCGCAGACCATGCTGGCCGGGCTGGCCGAGCAGGGCGAGAGTTCGGTGCCCGGCTCCGAGTCGCTGTCGCGCGCCAGCAACCACCGGCAGTCGCTGCGCATCCGGCGCTCCCTGCGCGAGACGCCGCCGCTACGCAGCCGCAGCAACTCCCTGCAGGTCAGGCCCGCGCTGCGGATAACTGGGGAACCAACATGTGCCTTGATGCCTGATATTTGATTTTATATCACTGCTTCGGTCACAAACACGATGAGACCTCTCTTTCAGTTATGTGAAAGTTGAAAATGATGCGTAGATGCTTGTTGAACTTCGTAGGGTGGCACTGAAGAAGTTGATTGACGCGTGATCCGTGCTCTGTTTACAGCCGACGTCACTTCAGCACGGCAACATTCCGTTTGTGTTCGGCCCCAAGATTACAAAGGTGAGGTGATCGCCATGCGACTTACCAACCGAGGTATTATTCGCCGATGCGTGTTTCGTTCAAACGGCTTGACACCTCTGAGAGCGTGCAGTACGAACGCCACACAGGTAAACATCCGACCAATGGATCATGGTGTCCAAGTTTTCCACTTAGCACCCTGATGACTAATTTGTGACTAATTTGTGTGTCGGTCTGCCGTCAGGCGCGCGGCACCGCCACGCCAGAGAGTGGCTCCACGGCCTCCCCGGAGCCGACGCGGCCCGTCGCCGGGGCCGGCGGCGGCCACGTGAACCCCACCTTCGTCATCACGGAGGAGTCGGACTTTGAGTCGGAGCCGGCCGGCCGGCAGTCGGGCACGGCGACGCCGCCGAGCCCGAGCCCTCCCGAGTCGGAGGGCTCCACGGCTCGCCGCTCCTCCCAGGAGTCCTGCAGCTCGCAGGCGACTCTGCCGGCCGCCACGGCGGAGGATGAGCCTCCGAGCCGGGGCGGCCGGACTGGAGCCGGGCAGCGCGGGCCGCCGCCGGAGCCGGCCCTGCCGCTGGTCACCCTGCCGACCATAGCCGTCACCGACGATATCGACGACACCCCGACGACGCCGACCGACGACAGCGGCGTCACCATCAGCAGACTCTGAGCGGGCAGCAACAGCAACAGCCCACAGCCCCTGAGGTGACTCATCAGCAGACTGTGGGGGCACCATCAGCAGACCGAGGTGACCCATCAGCAGACCGAGGTGACCCATCAGCAGACCGAGGTGACTCATCAGCAGACTCTGAGAGGACGCCATCGTCCAGAAGTAAACTCTGAGATCAGTAAACGCAGCAGCAGCCCTTCACGGTCGGAGTGACACCATTGCAGCAAGCTTTGAACGGTGGAAATAACAAAATAAGTGACTTCCAAGCCCGTATAACAATGAAAGGAACTTGGCGTCACACCCGCTGAATGCTGGTTGTAGCCAAAGCGGGGTCACACGACAAACACACCTAAACCCGTATCGAAGCTTCCTCCCCGTTTGGCAGCGACAACTTCTATATTGGGAACGGAACAATGAAATCGGCAGGCAGAGCCTCAACAAAAGATCACCGACTCGTGATCGCAGGCTATTAGATAATTTTATGTAGAACGTTTTATTCGTTGACATTTTCCGTCGATCTGTTTTCCTTTCAATGTGTGACCGCTGACCAAGAAGTTCTGTGACCAAAACATCGACTGTACCCTCGTGGCATAGTAGATACACTTCGGTAATTTTGTATGCGTGTTATTGTTCTGCTGTGTAATGTAGGTATCCATGCGTGCGACAAGCCATGAAAGGACGGATGCAGTTTTGTTCCAGTTAATCATGGACACGTTTATGACATATGCAAGATGCAACGATTGAATGAATTATGAACCATGTCAATCGGTCTTCGAATTGCCTTTCCCTGAACATGACTTGTTGTCATTGCATGACTTGATCATTCCGGACCCGTATTACCTACATGATTGCAATAGATGCGCTGTTTATTGCTATTTTGTGGTTCGGAAGTGCTCTTCCTCGTGATCGATCGTCGATAGCAGGAGCCGTGTTGTCCAGTGTGTGTCGAAGTTGATATCAGTCCATGAGGCAGTTCGCAACTCATTTAGAAGATTTATGAAACACGTGTCAACGACGTATCATGGGCGGACGTTCAGCGCCGAAGTGCCTGCAGGGAAACTTTATTTCCTCTTATGATTCCGTGTTGCAGTCGTTCTGATGGCAGTGCCTGGTTATAGTGCAAGTAACGGCAATGGTGTTATCATAGCTCGGTGACAGAGTTGTTAAGTGACGAATGTCTCCGACTTAACGAGTAACGAGTGCTAAGTATGAGTTTGATGTCTTGAAGTGGCAGGCGACGTTTCCCCGAGGTGCTCCCTGGTATGCAATATAAATAGATGATTTTATAGCGTGAGAGCGTGCCATATGACACGCTTCATAAGTAGTGAATCCGTCTCCGATGAAGTGTCATCAGGTGCCTTCAACTAAGACTGTTGTTTGTTACAGTTTTAAAGATATAAATATAAGGAATTTAAGAACCGAGTGTTATGCTTCACGCTTAATTGGTTTGCTAGCGTACAGTCTCTCTTGAACTTATGTAACCGCGCATCGGTGCGGTGGATCCACCACTAGCCCGACCGAGGAATGGCTCCTAAATTTGAGTCACCCAATTAATTGACATCCTCATCCATCCTGCCCCGGTAAATTGGCTAGGTGACTCAAATTTAGCAGCCCTTCCTCGGTCGGACTTGATGAATCCGCCGCACCGATACCCGGTATGCACTGGAGACTGCATTTACGTTCATTTGGGGCATTAGGGTACCCGACGCTACTGCAACGTAAGTTTTCAGTCAAGTCGTTATCTTCGTCGTAATTATTTCCCTGCCAAATTGGCATTCGTGGGGCCAATGGACATTCCACATTGCAGTAACACATTGTAATTGTAATTCTCAACGAAGATTTGGCTGTGGCCGAGCATCACAGCTAACATACACTGAAGTTCGTTTATCAGCCCAATCCACAGCCATATGTAGTTCGCTCGCGTCCCATGGGAGCCGCTAGGGAGCGTTGTGTTGTGTTCTGCTGTATCGGCTGGTGCCAAGTGCTGGCACGGTCAGACGTGAGGTGAACACATTCATCTACTAATGCATTCCAGGGCGAGAAGTAAACGTCGTTGCTTGCCTCTTCCGATACTCTTACTCGGGATAAGGCCTAGACTAGTACTTTACTAGAGAAGTAAACGTCGTTGCTTACCTCTTCCGATACTCTTACTCGGGACAAGGCCTACACTAGTACTTTACTATGGACTGGATGACTGGATACATCATCCGACCTCTAGCCAGCAGTCTAGCGTAACGATGGAAATGAAGTTAGAAATGATGACGTAGATTGCGCTTTATGGGGCGCCAGTGTCAGCTCAGAGAAATAACAGATCCGCTGGATCAGGTGGCGCCACCTGCGAACTACGTCTGCTCGCACCATTATTAGCTTTGGCCCAGCCACGACACTCGGGCTTCAAAATCGTAATCCCTATATTCGTCAGTTGCAAAGACTACACGAGACTACTATTGAAAGCAAGCTGTATTTCCACAGGACAACGGAATGGAACAGGCGCGTGAAGTGGAATTGAGATCGCGGCCGAACGGCACTCGGCAAATCTAGTACTCGTCTCCCTCGGCCTCGCCCTCGGCAGAGTCGATGCCGACCTCCTCGTAGTCCTTCTCGAGAGCGGCGAGATCCTCGCGAGCCTCGGAGAACTCACCCTCCTCCATGCCCTCGCCGACGTACCAGTGCACGAAGGCGCGCTTGGCGTACATCAGGTCGAACTTGTGGTCCAGGCGGGCCCAGGCCTCGGCGATGGCAGTGGTGTTGGACAGCATGCAGACGGCGCGCTGCACCTTGGCCAAGTCGCCGCCGGGCACCACGGTTGGCGGCTGGTAGTTGATTCCCACCTTGAAGCCGGTCGGACACCAGTCGACAAACTGGATGGTCCGCTTGGTCTTGATGGTGGCGATGGCGGCGTTGACGTCCTTGGGCACGACATCACCGCGGTACAGCATGCAGCAGGCCATGTACTTGCCGTGGCGCGGGTCGCACTTGACCATCTGGTTGGCCGGCTCGAAGCAGGCGTTGGTGATCTCTCCGACGGAGAGCTGCTCGTGGTAGGCCTTCTCCGCCGAGATGACCGGAGCGTAGGTGACCAGCGGGAAGTGGATACGCGGGTAGGGCACCAGGTTGGTCTGGAACTCGGTCAGGTCCACGTTCAGGGCGCCGTCGAAGCGCAGCGAGGCCGTGATGGAGGAGACGATCTGGCCGATCAGACGGTTCAGGTTGGCGTAGGACGGACGCTCGATGTCCAGGTTGCGACGGCAGATGTCGTAGATGGCCTCGTTGTCGACCATGAAGGCGCAGTCCGAGTGCTCCAGGGTGGTGTGGGTGGTCAGGATGGAGTTGTACGGCTCCACCACGGCCGTGGCCACCTGCGGCGCCGGGTAGATGGCGAACTCCAGCTTCGACTTCTTGCCGTAGTCGACGCTGAGACGCTCCATCAGCAGCGAGGTGAAGCCGGAGCCGGTGCCGCCGCCGAACGAGTGGAAGATCAGGAAGCCCTGCAGGCCGGTGCACTGGTCGGCCAGCTTCCTGATGCGGTCCAGCACGATGTCAACGATCTCCTTGCCGATGGTGTAGTGGCCGCGGGCGTAGTTGTTTGCGGCATCCTCCTTGCCGGAGATCATCTGCTCCGGGTGGAAGAGCTGGCGGTAGACGCCGGTGCGGATTTCGTCCACCACGGACGGCTCCAGGTCGACGAACACGGCGCGCGGCACGTGCTTGCCGGCGCCGGTCTCGGCGAAGAAGGTGCTGAAGCTGTCGTCGGAGGAGCCGAGCGACTTGTCCGAGGGGATGGTGCCATCGGGCTGGATGCCGTGCTCGAGGCAGTAGAGCTCCCAGCAGGCGTTACCCATCTGGCAGCCGGCCTGGCCGATGTGGATAGAGATGCACTCGCGCTGAAACGGAACAAAGACTCAGATCGACGGAACTGGCGACCGGTGGCATGCCATGCAATTCCATTTTCAATTGGGGCTCATCAGCACGCGCAGTGGAAGGGGAGAGGCGTTTTTGTCAAATAACGCACGCCGTAATCATTCCAATAACCCGCGCCGTGCTGGGGAGGAGCCGTCTTTAGCCCCCCCCCCCCCAGTTTTCGCGAACATCTAAAAAACGAATAATTTTTGGTGCAATTGTTCATATCATATAAGAATTTCAGACTCGGGCAGTTCAAGGTTAGGTCACCAGGTCACGTCAAGTGACCTTACCTCAGAAAAAGTTCCAATGCTCGCTGTAGCAGAAGGATCGCTTTGAAACTTTCAGCGAATGATAAGAGTAACGGGATGTAGGTATAAAATGTAATTCTCAGAATTTCGATATCTGTGACCCAAAGTCAGGTCAATTTCGCGACCTCTCCAATAAGGATACCCAAGTCAATGGGAGAAAAGGGAACTGCGCCTCTTTTGGATGAGCGTCGTTCTTAACACTCTCAAACATCGGTGATAGAAAAACACCAGCAGTTTTTTACAATGACTTTTGATAGATATATGCTAAAGCGGTGAAAACACATCGTGTTCAGCTTGACGATACGGATCGACTGATATGCAGCTTGACATTTTCCGGCCAGATCATGGCCCTGAGGCCTGACCTGAGGTCAAATTTTCAAAATGACCCTTTACGGTCAAATTATAATGTGAGATGCGGCGAATAGTTTATTCGACGCATCTCACAGAGGATCACGATACTTGCAAAAGTACCTAATCTCGGGACTCTCTTGAGTCATACTTGTTACAGACATTTTTCGTAAAAACGGCTATTTTTCACCCGCGCCCTGGTGGGGTCTGTTTATAACGCGACCTGGTGGGGGGGGGGGGGGCTATTTTTGCCCCCCCCCCTTCATATCTCCGAAACTACTGGACGGATCCGCAAAATTCAAACGGCGTTCGGTCAAATTTGTCGTATGGAACCAAATTTCATTGACCTTGGGGTCACCGATGACGTCACAGGTCACGTCAAAGATAAAATGTTTCACCGTTCACGGGTCTTCTAGAGAATGCGCTATACCCCGAGAAAAACGCATTTTGTCGAGAATCAGCGATAGGGCGTCAGTTGCCTAGTACATATGTTGCTATTAGAGGTCACTGACAATACCAGGTCAGGTCACAGGTCAGGTCACCAAGGGTCAGCACATGAACCCAACTTTCTTTACTAAGGTTGTGCGATGCATGTTTTATGCAATGGCCAATTTTTTATTTCCAACTCAATGGTGTTGGTTATAAGACCATCAGGTACGGCTTAGGTCACTTTCTGGTGAAGGTAAGGTCAAGGTCAGGTCAAAAAAGGTCAAATTTTAAAGTTGATAGTCTTGCATAAAATGGGTATCGATTCGATGCAGCTTGTCACGGGGAGTCTAATGGTGGTCTTTGTTTCGCGCTACGGGGTCTAGAATTGCTAAAAATTGAGTTTGAAAACTTGACGTCATCAATTTTGAACAGTTTTTTCGCTATAACTTGGCCAAAAAAGAAGGTATCGATCTCAACTTTGGTAGGTATGTGGATAGAAGGCGGTAAGGACTACCACATTATTCCGCTTTTTCGAAATTCAAAAAAAACTTTTCGGATTTTTTGGCTACTATATTAAAAAACCTACTTTTTGATTTTTGTGGATCAAAATCCAAAAGTTTCAAAAATCCGAGATAGCAGTTTTGTAGCCCTGTCAATTCTAAAGCTTTTGTGTGCCTATCATTTTTCTGTATTTGCAAAGCTTTAGGCCTGACAGCTCTTTCCGCGAAACCCTTTTTTGGGTCGAAAACGGCAGAACATGACGTCACTCTGACGTCATTTCCGGCCAACCTATCATAGCCTTTGGAAAAACTTTGGTCACAATGTGTACAATTGATGTCCGGGAGGGTACTGAAAGGTTGGTGACGATCGGCGCAGCGGTTCTGGAGATATATCGAGAAGTCTGGAGGGGGGGGGGGCAAAAAATAGCCCCCACCAGGGCGCGGGTTAAGTTGTTGCCCTATGGAGGCTAAGCCGTTGACCGGTAACACCCTTATCGTCCCGCTCTTCGGAGCCCTTCCAAGGTCGGTAGCAGCGCCCTCCCCTCCCTCCCTCCCTCCCGCCGACCGCGCGTCCGGCAGCTGGCAATCCAGTTTGAACGGCCGGCCCACAGCCGCTGGCGCCGCCCCGAGCGTAACGGCCGGCGCGGCGCCGGCCGAGCGGGCGCCATGTTGGGGCAGCCGGCCCAGCGGCGCCGGTCCGGAACTTCATTAAAATAACTTTTTTTCGAAAAAAAGAATGTTCCATTTGTTCCGAACAAGGTAAAATGAGGCCACAAGTTACGTTCATTCCGAAGTATCGTTCAATGACTAGCCTCTCATTCGGTCCCGAGTGAAGCACGTGGTTGGCGTCTGGCGACCCAGTCTCGCTCCCGTCTACCAGGGGCCTTTTCAGAGCCTATTCTAAAACTAATAAATGATGGATCTCTATGAAATACTGAGCAGGAAACTATTCGAAACCATGCATAACTGACTAAGCGTCGAGCATCCTTACAAGACGACCCCTGAATCTCAATTCTCATGTGTTGTTCGATCAAGTGGTTTACAAAAGCACGGTGCAGATTATTTCGACCTGTCGTGCTCGTTGCTAAAGTAGAACATGAGTTCATACTACAAATAAAAAAAAACGTTAACGCGGATGAGGGAGTCGAATGATTCTAGACGGCGCTCTAGCATACAATGACGACAATGTAACCCAGCCACACCCTGAAAAAAAAAACGAACCAATGCTGATGCATGATTTGAAATGAGAGCTTAACCGCCAAAAGTAAGACGTTTACATACTTTTTTATGAAAACTTACGCAAACAATACCAAAACTCACCATGTTGCTGATTTGGTGTGCTGTGGGGTGAAGAAGCAGAACAAAGAGACGCTTCCCTGGCCAGGCGGTGCTACGGCGCTAGGCGGACGGAAACCCTTCTCTCGCGTGCGCCGCGTTGCCGGCTGCTTTATAACCTCCGAGCCCGGGGCGCCCGCCGCGTCCGGCGCGCTCGCCGCTGATTGGCTGATTGCCGGCGCGCGCGGCGGGACGGAGGGCAGTGCGGCGCGGCGCGGCGGGCCGCGGCAGGGCGTCGGCCGGCCGGTCACAGACAAATCGAACAATCGACCGTCGTCGGCGCCGACGACTCACGGTGACCGCGCCCCGGTCAGGGGAATGTGAGTCACACTGCGCTACCGTCTGAGTCTGAGTCAGCGCCGATCGACATCATCAGACGCAGTCCTTGGGAGCCCCCTGCCCCACGTCCCCTTCATATGCTATGACAGAACGGCCTGTCATAGCCTGTCATGTCATTCATATTGCCTGTCACAGACATTTGGCGAGAGTTGAGAAAGGCCCCAAAGATTTCGTGTCACGCTTTGAATGAAAATTATGTGTCAGCAGACTCCAAAACTTGTGAAAATCAGCTATAAAATGTAATAAAGAACCAGCTAGCAACATGGACTGAATCACAGCAATGACATTTCCGAGTCTGGAGTCTTGAAGATTTTGGCGACTGCGACTCTGACTCTTGTTTGAACTGCACGCTCCAACCGAGTCTGACCTCACAGACGTTCTCCGAAAGGTACCCCCATTTTTTCCCGACTCGAAAATCTCATCGGATCTGCATCGATCTCAGGGGGTGCCCGGTCCGAGGTTGGGGGGGGGCAAGCTGCCCCGCTTGCCCCCCCCCCCCTGGCGACGCTAATGCGCCAGTGTCTCAATCCGCGGAAGAATCTTATTGTTATTTGGCTTTTATTATCTGCATGTTTTCACTTACCACGTCATTGTCATTGAGCAGAAAGAATAAGTCGGCATCAGTGGTCCAAATCTAAAGAAAAATATGAATTCGGTTGAGAGCTAAGCCGGGTCGGGATGGGAGGGGGCATGTTCGAGCTTCGCATCCCCCCCCCGTCTAACTCGGATCCAATGGCGGCGACACGATCATTTTCGCCAGTGGGGGCAGGGCAAGCTTGAGGTGACTACTGTTGTATGACACCCCGATCTGCAGAATTCAGGAGCACCTTGCCCGGTGCCCCTATAGCCGTTGACATCCAAAATTGTCCAGATGTAGGAAAAGTTATGGAAATAAAGGAATTTCTTTGCCATCATCACATCACCACCGCTTTGCATTGGAGTTTTGTAGCCTTGTTTGCATCATCACATCCTATCCTATCGGGAATATTGCACAGGTCTTGTTCCCTTTCCAACTTCAGCCAAGTTTTGTCGGGGGGCAAAATCATAGTCTTGCCCCCACGGCCTCCTGTCAGTGGGGGCAGTCTGCCCCCACTGCCCCCACGGTGGCGCCGCCCTTGCTCGGATCCACGTCGCAAGACGCGATAAAAGGGTATTCGAAAGCGTCCAAAGTCATAAGAAGTTATCGCGTTTATGTTTGGAGCAGTTCGAAGGTTTTTCGAACCAAAGGTCATCGAAGGACTGACAAACCGGCGCATAACGCAGGAACAAATAGGTGCAGCTACAGCGACGTGCAGGAAAACGCACTCGATGGCTCTTTCAAAGCTCTTTTCTCAGATAGGTATGTCCTGATGAAAACGGTGTTTACCGTTTTAATCTCCAGACAAGTACTGACAAGTGGGTAAGGTCTCTCAAACTTGATATTTTTGCGGAAAGTGTATTTTGTCGGCACCGTGTTTTCTCATCGATGATAATAACCATAATTTGACCGTTGACATGCAATTCGCACGTCATGTGTAACGTTACTTCTGAATAAGTAGACAGGTTGCAGGGTTAGCCGGCAGATAACGTTCATAAATCATACATCCAGGTGCAAAACGCAGCACGCTCGCCTCGTTCTACCTTTGTTCTCCTCCCCGAGTCAGAGCCACAGGCGAGTCACCGCTGTTCACGCGGACATCGACCGAGGTTGCAAAATGCCGCTAGTCAAAATCCACTCAATCGTGGAGTGTTTACACAACCTGCGTGTCCACACCTCGATTACCGCAGGGGCGCAGTAGTGGCCCGCCTGCTAGAGCTCGAGCTTCCCCCAGCCCCCAGCCACCACGGTCAGGTATAGAACCCACTACTGCGGCCACCGCTCCTTAGTCACGGTTACGAGGCAGCGTGTTTGAGTGGTGCCTGCCTACGCGACATAACCGCCTCAATTAGCTCCGGTTACCAGGAGGGTAGGCGAGTGCGGGGCGGCTGGTTCGATGGTGGAGCGGTGCGGCGGCTGGGCGACGGACCAGTGCGTGGAACCCCGGCACACCGACACCGACGCAAAGGGTGGCGGTGGAGAGGGGGAGGTGACGACGGCATCGGTGGAGTATTTTCCTGTAGAGTGAATGGGGCGAGACGTTACCAAAACTGGCGATGTTGCTGCCTAGAATCGTTGGAAATGGGCTACCTACCTGATCAGCGATAGGAGTTAGGACAGTGGTTCAATCGTTACACGAGGAGGGGATGACTTTTTACGCCCCCCCCCCTAATTCGGCTGCAGGGCCCAGCGCGACAGGCGGTATGCGGCATTAGGAAAGGCATTATAAACAATGAAGAAAGCTCCTCGATCGTTATTAGGGTCAGGATAGGTCATCTAAGGTCAAACTTTCGCGAATTCGACATCATTGGACCAACTGGCTCAAACTTCTTGGCACTAACAGTGCTACAACATCGCGGACAAAAAAATGATCTCTCTTTCGAAGCTCTTTCACTGATGCGTATTCAGATTTAACCCTATGCCAAGGGGATAAGCCTCCAGCATCCACAGGAACCGTAAGTAAATGACGTTTACGTGCAAACGTTATCTGCGTTTACCTTTGGCACAAAGCCAAATGACTTCACTAGTACAATCATGTTTCTCTCGTCGATAAGCATCACATTATCTCAATACTTTTACCCCCGAGCCCTGCTGGTGTTTGGACAGCCACCTGCGGTTTTTCGCGAATATCTATAAAAAACACCGTTTTAGCACACCTTATCATGCATCTTTTCTGCATGTGTTGTGAAAATTTCGGACCAAGGTCACTTAAGGTCAGGTCACCATGTCACGTCAAGTGACGTCACCTCATAAAACGTTTCGATACCTGCACATTATACATAAGTACACCGAACGACCGATCGCTTTGAAACTTCCAGCGATTGAAAAGAGCAACAGCATGTTCTTACAATTTACAATGTTCCCAGCTTTTAGCTGCACTTCCATCACACATGAGTAAAGAATAAAGGCTCATTTTGTTATTTTACCATTCTGGTTACTTTTTCTTACAAGAGTAGGTACAGAGCAGAAGTGTACCTAACACACATGAACGGATAGCAGGCACTGCTGGGTGGTCCGTCTTACCCCACGTTTTTTCTTGTCTGAGTTTTTGAAATGTTCCTCTTTAAGAGCATCCACCACCTACAGGGTGGAAAGTAATTACGCGAACATGTATTTTCTTACAATTTTGACCGTCAGTGGAGCATTTTTATGAGTACGGGCTGTCATGGAACATAATTGGTCGTGTTTGTTGTCGCCTCATCTACCAAAAGTGACCTAACTTTGAACAATGACCTGGAAGGTCTTAAACACCTCTCGACTTAAAATGGTGCAGACACCATACGCTGCACAAGACCGAAATGGGCAAAGAGCTCAATTTGGAGCTGCCAGGGAAAGCGTTTGTGATTATTTTCGCTGGACTGGCGGAGAAGGGATTCGTAGCGGTCTCAGCACCAGCATTGCACAATTATACGTTTTTTTTTTAAACATAATAACACTTGAGAGGACTTAAAAAGCAAAGCCGTCCGCGGCAGCAACCCCTCGGCGAATTCTGTCGCTGGGCGGGTGGTCACCATGTCGGCGACAAAACGACGCCAGTCGACCCGAAAACTGGCAAAATAGCTTACTCTGGCCGGGTACCCGATCTAGGATATCACGATTAGCACATTAATACGCAAAAATTCGAAAATTAAGTCGTACAAACCCTCGGGATGACCAAAATTCACGAATTAACAGCAGAATTGTTAATTGAAGCTTTTCAAAGGCAATCAAAGATGGACAGAGGAGGACAGGCAGCTGGATTTGTGGTTGGGTGAGACATCTGTGAAACTGTTTCATCCGTCAAACCTGCAGAACAACTGCTCTGAGGGCTGCTGTTGCGTCCTATGTCCCGTCCGTCCCAACCTTCAAACATCCGGCAAAGGAACACATCAGTGGGTCACGAGCCCCCGGGTGGTGTCAGACTTGCGTGTAGCGCTAAAAAAGGTCACTTAAAATAAAGTATACAACCGGTGGAACATCCTCCAAGACGAGTGTCTCTGTCTAATCCACCGTGCAACGAAAGGGGCAAAATGACTGAGCGCACTTTTGTGCCTGACGCAAAGAAACTGCTCTTCGTGATTGGTGAAATCCTTACTTTCACGGCCAACAAAACGCAATACTGGTGCTGTGAGAAACTGTTTTTCTTCAGGACATACAAAAGCTGATCTGTGAAACGCCTGGGCCTCAATTCGATTAAAACTATCCAGATGACTCCTCAGGAGACCGTCTAAAAGCTGCAAGGAGCCACCAATACCGATTACCTCACTGGACAGCTCCATAAGGTGTGGGCTGAGCTTTGGCCAACAGATCTTCACATGCTGATGTAAATCATGCCGGAACGCCTATGTCAATGCATCGCAACTAGATAAGGATAAAGTAAAACATATATTGTTTATGTCACCGCCGTTTTTTTTTCATTACTAGAAGACGAAAAAGTATGTTCGCGTAATTACTTTCCACCCTGTAGATGTCTTTAATTTGAAATTTAGTCGTTACACATATCAACAGAGGAAGGATTGAGCATTCCGAAGACTAGAAATAATATGAATTACGAGAGCAGTGTAGCAAGATATGCGGCCTCAAACCTTAGCTGGTCCGTCTTACCCCACCTTCCCCTACAGCGCGACGATACGGACCAATTGGTATGCAACAAGACCTTGGCCGGTCAGGTGGCCAGCCATGACCTGAGGTCTAATTTTCAAGTTGACCTTTCAAGGCTAAATTATGGTTCGTCCGATGCGTCTCGACGAGAGGAACACGATGATGATAAAAGTAAGCTCGCACAAAATACAATCAAAAGTTATTGCAGAAAAACACCTCCCGCAAAAAAACGTCTTTTCAGTTTTTGTCCCCTGTAGGCTAAACCGTTGACCTTCGGTCAAATCTGAGAACAGTCTGCAGAAAGAACGTTAAAAGAGCTATCGAATGCGCTTTTCCGTGGCGCTGAATATAGCTCTATCCGTTCCTTAGCTAATGCACCGGCTTGTCAAAAACTGTAAGTTTGGCCCGAATTGGCGAAATTTTACCTTCGATGACCTC